TCCTGTTGGGTTTGTAGGTGTTCAGAATGGTTTGATCCCTATCCAGCTGAATTCCTGAGAGGAGACGAAATCCAGGTCTCCTACTCCTCCGCCATCTTGCCTGATAGGATATTTTATTGGGATGTTATTTCTGTCTCTGTCCGCTGGTATTCTTCCCGTCCTCTTGCCGGGAGAGAGCCTGGTTTTGCCCTTGGCTTGGCTAAAGGCAGCAGTTTGTCCATAGCCGGGTTCAGGCCTCTCCTGGCTCTGGGCTTCCAAAAACCACAGCTCCTGAAAGCAGAGAGGATGGCAAGTCTCAAGGTTTAAACAGCTGACATGACCAGAAGGAAGATGAGAAGCTCTCCAGGCCTGGAGATCCTCCGGGGACTCAAGTTATGGTGGAATCGCTCACGGTGCTGCAGGGAGGTGGCAGGACCTGAGGGCATCAGTGTCTGATGCACTGAGGAAGGCAGAGAGCAGTCTGCCAAAGGCCAGCACTGGACCTTGGAGCTGCTGGAATCAAGGGACCTTGTGAGCTTGGGGAATGAGCAGATGTGATGTGAAGAGCAGAAGACCTGTATGTTTGGGGCTGTTTGCTCTCTTTGAGCAGGGACCAGACCCCCAGTCAGGATGGGGATTGAATTTCCCCAGCTCTACAGGATGATCCCTCAGAGCATGTTGAAGTAGTTTTAAAGTGTCAGTGAAAGATGTGTGTTTCAGCCATGTCTAAAAATGAAATTTACAAGCATTATTCATTTATGAAGAGATCGTTTGTGTGCAGAATGTGGACTGTGTGGGGAGAAGACAGACGAGGGCTCGGGGGGTCAACTGATGCTCATTTCATCAGCCCAGGCAAGAGCTGAGAGTGATGACAGCTGTGGGCTACAGAATAGACGCCTGATGGAAGCTTCCACGGCTCCCTTGTTCATGTGATGGGTCGCTCTGCTTCTTGTCCTCAGGTACTGAATAAAGTGCCAGGCTTTGAGGCTCTGTGCTGATCAGGGGAAGCTCTGCTTGGTATGTAGCCAGGAAATAACTGGTGTGTCTGGTGAGGCGGTTGATAGGTTTGTCAAGCTGGTGAAGACATGTTTACTGCATGAGTAAGTGACTTAGTGTGAGAAGGGAGGGGGGATTGTTGAAGGAGTAGCAATAGGTAGGAATAATTACTGGATCATGGTAGTTCTAGTTTTAATTTTTGAGGAACCTCCATACTGTTTTCCAGAGTGGTTGCACCAGCTTGCGTTCCCACCAGCAGTGGAGGAGGTTCCCCTTTCTTTGCATCCTCACCAACCTATGTTTATAGCAGCATTATTTACAACAGCCAAATTATGGAAGAAGCCTAAGTGTCCACTGACTGATGAATGGATGAAGATGTGGTATATACACAATGGAATATTATTGAGCCAGGAGAAAGAATGACATCTCGCCATTTGCAACAACGTGGATGTTGCTAGAGAGTATTATGCTAAGTGAAATAAGTCAGTCAGAGAAAGTCGAATACCGTATGATTTCACTCATATGTGGATTTTAAGAAACAAAACACATGAACAAATAAAATAAGAGACAAACAAAAGACAGACTCTTAAATGTAGAGAACACACTGGTGGTCATCAGAGGGAAGTTGGGCCGGGGGATGGGGAAATAGGTGATGGGGATTAAGAGCACACTTGTCGGGACAAGCACTGAGTAATGCATAGAAATACTGAATCATTATATTGTACACCTGAAACTAATATAACATTGTATGTTAATTATAATTGAATATAAAAAAAAAGGAAGGTAAAATGGATCAGAAGAGAAGGGAAAGAGCATCCCAGGCTACAATTAGGGGACACCTCAAACAGAAAACATCAGTTGTGAAAAAGAGAAGCCAGAAATACAGGCAGTGGTTAGATCATGCAAGGTCTTTAGGCCAAATCAAGGAGGCTGAAATCCCATCCTAAGATCATCAAGAATCCATGAGAATTATAGTATGAAATAATCATAAGTTCATTTTTTAAAAAAACCCTTTCCTCCAACTCCTGAATAGAGAATGAACTGTTTGAGGACAATAGTAGATTCAGAAAACAGGTTGAGAGAGGGTTGCACTCATCGAGCTCATGGGTGCTGGTGGTTGGCACTGGGGTGATGGTGGTGAAGGGGCAGGGGGAGGCTGGCTAGGTTGGGCCCGTTAGCAGGTTGCAGGGCAGTGTGGGGTCACGGAGAGAAGGAAGCCTCTAACGGGGGAAGGAGGAAATGCTAGCTGTGTTGTTGACTAACTCGGGGAACCAGGAGGCTGGCCAGGGTTTACAGGCTTGGATTATGAGTTAGGCATTGCACACGCCATCTTCAAAGGTCCTTCAGACACCCAGTGACGTGAGGCCAGCTGGAATCTGTACCTGGAGCTGTTGACTTAAAGCTGGTGGAGGTCACCAGGATCAGTAAAGTGGAGAGGGAAAGATGATGGAAGATCTTACCTTTCTGACAATGTTCATCTGTCTTGGATAATTATGAACTTATCTCCTTATTCCGTTACACAATAGGGTTATTTTCAGTGTAGCTTGGTCTAGTAATTTGCTCACACCACGAGTTTGACGCAACAGGTGTTTCCTCGACTCTCCTAAGTGCTAAGTATGCCCTTGAGAGAGCAAGTCCATGCAGGGAGCAGCGAGCATGTGCGCTCGTAGAAAACGGGATTTAAAGTTCCTTATCATTTCCCATATGTAATACCTCCTACCAGAATACTTTAAACTTCTGATTGATGGACATTTTTCTTTTCCTCAGCCCCCTCCAATATCACAGTGTCTTTGTCACTCTTGTCCTCGACGTCTATACATCTCCTGCTGACTTATGGGTTGTCACGACACAAGGCAGAACATTTTAAGTAAAGGAAGCATTATTTATCATAAACCTGCATTTTCCTTTTCACACGTGCTTAGTTGGAATCATTTGCAGCTCTCAGTGGGAACATTGTTCAGCACGGATCACACAAGGATAGAAGAGAGGATACGTAGTCAAAAGCAGCATTTTATCAATAATATATTGGTCAATCCACCCAGGCTAACTGCTGCCCCCTCCCCAGGACCTCCATAAGACTTGCTCATTTAAGTTTTATCCCTTCTTTGTTCAAGTCAAAACAAAACAAACAAACAAACAAAATGATTGTGTTGTTAAAAGAATGCAGTGTGAGGGGCACCTGGGTGGCTCAGTTGGTTAAGCATCTGCCTTAGGTTCAGGTCATGATCCCAGGGCTCTGGGATCGAGCCCCATGTCAGGATCCCTGCTCAGTGGGGAATCTGCTTCTCCCTCTCCCTCTGCTGCTCCCCCATGTTTGTGGCCCCAAATAATAAATAAATAAAATCTTAAAAAAACAGGAATGCAATGTGAAAAGCCAATGCATGGTAAAATATAAGAATTTCTGTGTCCATGTACTGATACAATAGAAAGATGTCACATCAGCTTGAGGAGAGCAGAGAAAATGTGTAACTTTACAGTATGAGAACAAGAGAAAGGCTCCAAGTACAAAAGGATTAAAGCCAATACTCAGATTACATAGGTGGCTGTCAGACCATAGGGATTTGGAGACCAAAACAGATACCCGCATCTATTTTATAGACAGATAAGTGAATGCATTTGTCATGTTATTGCTCTACTCCATGTCTCCTGCAGGAACCACAGTCCCAGCCCTTCTGAACAGCACCTCCAACCAGCTCTATCTGCATTTCCAGTCTGATATTAGTGTGGCAGCTGCTGGCTTTCACCTGGAATACAAAAGTAAGGTCAACTCTTTCTGCATCCAGCTTCCATTGTTATACTGAGTACCTTTCTGAATGGAAACAAAGTCCACACCCTCATTACATAGGAAAATAGTATTGTTCTAAAACTACTTTAAAAGTTGCATGAAAGTGGGTCATACAAAATCTCTCTCTATGAAATATTTATTGTAAAAAGCAAACGAATGAGGACATGCAGATGTTAGTATCTGGAATAATTGGATAGATGCAGATGTTAGTTCCTAGAATAATTGTTCAAAAGCACAAAGCTTAACCATTTGTACGATTCCTGTTTTTTTTTGTGAGTGATAGCAAATGTTCATATTAACGTCCCGAAACCTAGAAAATCATAATTTCCAAACAGATTATGGTCATAGGCCTTTCCACTTCTAGACTCCAAGGCTGTCAGCACAGAATACCACTGAGCTCACAGCTTTGTGTATTATTCATTCTAATTGGAAGAAGGTATCGTGAAGGAGACACTAACCTTTTAAAAATGAATGTGCAAGTGAGTTAATAGTCTGATAAATGGGTTGACAAAGGTCAAATTCACAAATCTTCTTTGGCGTTTGATTATGCAGGTAAACCTTGTAAAAATGAAATAAGAATTTCCAATGAGAGTCAGATTTATTTTAGGACATGTTTTCAAGCACTAAAAATGCTTAATGTTGATATTCATCTTCTTTAATAAGCAGTTGCAAATAAGAAAATACATGGATAAGCTTTAATAAGTGATCTTTTGAATTGAGATAAACAGTTTGCTGAGATGTAAATGCATGCATGTTTTTGATAGGCCAGGTTTCCAGCTGATGATAAATATTCTGAACCAGACAGAAACCACAGGGCTGTTTCCCATTTCAGTTAAATTCCCCTACTTATTACAGGCATTTGTATGCAAGTTTATTCCAATTTATTTGAATAGGACTACTTTGGTGACAGTATAAAATGATGCTGTAGATGTTATTTATGTAGGAAATGTCTAGAAAAAAATCTGCTACTTTGATACATTTTGTGAACATCTGTAGATAGGAAACTATCAACCTTATTTATGATAGTGTTAATAAATTCACTAATATTTTTAGCAATGTTAGAACTCATGAATGCTCTTCTATCTTTCCCTCAAACTTATCTTGCAGATTCGGGCTTTTCACTCACTTCTTATAAAAAGGTGTTAGTGAAATAATTAGTCCTCAGTTACTATTACATAAAATTACAGCTGCAACAATATAATTATCTACTTTCTACTTTATTCCCAACCAATATACTTCATTAAAAGAGAAAGACTAAGATATTTCTCACCGAAATGAATCTTGTTTAAAAATCCAAGGCCTTGTTTCATTACTTAATGTATTTATTTTTTAGTTGCCCAAACATAATGCTTTGTTTTCATTTGCTCACATTTGTTCTGAGTGATTGTTTTTTGATGCTAACACCACTCTGATCCCTCCCGTGTCGTTCATGTCCTTCCAATCTCCGGTGTATTTAAAAGCACTCATTTCTCAGTTCTAATTCCTTGGGCCAGAGTTCAAAATACTGGTCATATAAAGGGTTTGTAGAATTAATCTCATTAAGGCCAACATCAAACAGAAGAAGGACCGTTGAATTAGGCTGCCAAAAGATTGTCTCATATTTTTAATCTGTTGACATATTTTTCCATCTACCTTAAAATATGTGCTGTCGATCTGTAAGCCTCTAAATTCAGATTTGTCACTAAAATTGATATCAATGAAATAATAAGAAAAAGGACCAAAACACATACTCTATGCCAGGTCCTGCTTTAAACATGTTACAGCTCCTTACTCAATTGTCCTCAAAAAACCCTAGTTTGGAGGTATGGCCAGTGCTTAAAGGAGGAAGAACATAGCCCATAGTCACACTGCTAGTGACCCACAGAATGTGAGACACTTCATCACGAAGGCCCTTGACTGAACTCTATGCTAGGATCCGAACTGTCCTGTCCGAAAGGCAGCATGCAGTGCTCTGTTTTACGAATGATGACGCCGAGGTTCATGAGCAGGTGGATAATCCATGGAAGATAGAGGAGCTTGTGAATCTGTTTGTCCCTAAAACCAGAACTGCTATGGCTGATCCACACCTGCTTCTGTCTGAGGACTTTCACTTTTCTCATTGGGAAGTAAACACTAGGCTCTGGTAAATATCCCAGTCCATCGTTCCAGATGAGCACTGATAGGAATTTCCCAATCAGAAAACAAACATTTTTACGTTTGGGATGAATTATCAAATTTTATTTTATTTTTTATAAAATTTATTTATTTATTTTTAAAGATTTTATTTATTTATTTGACAGAGAGAGACAGTGAGAGAGGGAACACAAGCAGGGGGAGTG